GACCATGGTACATAAGAAAAAAAATTAACCCTGCCCATATAATTGGAAACATAAATATAATAACTTAGGACTCACTCATACTGAAACAAGGAAGTATGTATTCTACTTCTTTTGAGAGGTGACTACATTAATATAATAAGATTTATATGGCAACATTTTCACTAGGACATCTCAGTTCTTTGACCATTCAGAGTAATTGAGTTTTTCTTCCTTGTATTGATATTTCAGAACTTTTGAATAATGCTGTTTCATTTTTTGCTAACTTCAAAAGCAACGGAAAGATTCACAAAATAATTCTACTTGAGGAAATTTTCTAAAAAGCAAAATCATGCCTACTACTTTACAACAAGTTAAACTAATGATGAACAATTTTCAGAACTATGGCAACATATGAGAGACAATTTCCTGGAGGACTCAAATTTCTGCAACAGAAAATTTCCATAGCACTAGCTAAAATTTGCCTAATAAAGAACAAAAGAGGAAAACTATGAGTCGTGAAAAACAAATTTTCTTTAACTCCTTAGCAACAGGGAGTGAGTTTTATTATTTAACTATATGACTATTTGAGTAGATCTTTTAACTATATGACTATTTGAGTAGATCTTTTAAATTTTGAGAGTTGAATATTTTTTTTAAAAAAGGCTAGGAATAGCAGAAAAGGTTCTCAGGTAAACCTTTTAAAATGTCATAAAATTGAAACAAGTGATATAAGCTTACAAAGTAGAGATGGCTGTGTTTTATCTTATTTGAATGCCCCCCAAAATGTTAAATAATCAGATAAACAATAATAGAACTATTAAGGGGATTTGGTGAGATGACTTTATTCAAGAAGGAAATCTGTAAGGTAAGGCAACAATTTTTCTTTTTATCAACAATTATCATTTAGTAACACACACATACACACACACACACACACACACACACACGACATATTTATTGAAACTTGATTACCAATAGAGAAAAGTAGTATATAACTTGACAGGGGAATGGTTGAATAAAAAAGGTTATAAGTCCTATAAAAGGATGAGTTATATCAATGTAGAAAGATACCCATGATATATGTTTGGGTGAGACATATCATATCTATATATAAAAGCCAGTCAACCAGTCGCTATGGAGGTGGGGAGTGGGGAAGGAGCAGAGGCTCAATGCAGGAACTGCCCCCAGGTGGTCAGTGCACTCCCACAGCCAACCTCCCATTGCCTGTCAACTTCCCATGGTCCCTCCCCCTGGCCGGCCCTGATCAGAACTGAAGGAGATGGCCCTGATCAGCTCCGATTGCCCGCCAGGCTGAGGGACCCCCACCCATGCACGAACATGCACGAATTCATGAACTGGGCCTCTCGTGAAGACATAAAGAGACTGAAAAGACTATAGAAAAGATTGATAAAGCTGAGACCTTTTTTTTTTTTTTTTTTTTTTTAAGGTAAACAAAATTGACAGACCTTTAGCTAGACTCACCAGAGGGGCAGGGGGACAAATAAAATCAGAATACACCTGATGCCACAGATACAGAGGATGATAAGAGTCTACCACAATGAGCCCTGCCTGGTGTGGCTCAGTTGATTGGAGCATATCCCGAACACCTAAAGGTCACAGGTTAGGTTCCCCGTCAGGGCACATACCCAGGTTGCAAGTTTGTTCCCAGGTTAGGGTGCCTATAGTAGGCAACCAATGAGCTTTCTCTCCCTAAAAGTAATAAAAACATATCCTCACGTGAGGAATTTTTAAAGAAATATCACCTCACACCTGTTATAATGAAAGATAAGAATTATGTGTTGGCAAAGATGTGAAGTAAAGAGAACCCTGTGTACTGTTGATGGGATATAAATTGGTACAGCCATTCTGGAAAACTATATGGAGGTTTCTCAAAAAATTAAAAATAGAACTACCTTATGATTCATCAATTCCACTTCTGGGTATTTATTTATCTGAAGAAAACAAATCCACTAACTCCAAAAGATAGATGCACCCCGTGTTCCTTGAAGCATTATTGACAATAGCCAAGATATGGAAACAACGTGTCTATCAAATGAATGAATGGATAAAGAAAATGTGATTTATGTATTGTAATGAAATTTGGCCATAGAAAAGAATAAAATCCTGCAATTTGTAATAACATGGATGGGCCTTGAGGACACTAGGCTAGGTGAAATAATTCAGACAAATACCATATGATCTTACTTATATGTCAATAAAGAAAAGAAAAACAACAACAGGTTGGTGGTTGCCAGAGACAGGGATATGAAGGGTGAAGGGGGTAAAAAAAAAAAAAAAATTAAAAAAAAAAATAAAAAATAAACACACAAGCAAACAAAGAGTTATACCTATATATATTGACATAGAAAAATACTCATATCCTTGAGTGGTAAAACCTGTCATAGAAAAATGTATGCAAGGTAATCTCACTTTCACTAGTGAGAAACAACTCTGAGTTCTCTGTGTATTATGAACACGAAGAGATATGCCTAGAACTGTTAATTAGGGTTACCTCAAGATAGTCTCTCCTCAGGTCCACATAATGCCAACGCCTAAATAAAATATGCAACCATAAAATTAAAGGCAAAAAGAAAACCCGAAAGCATGATTACTAAAGTGGAAAAAAGTTCAGTGGAATTGCATTTTCTAAAAAATTAGGAATGCAAAAGAAATAAAGCCTTAAAAGTGCCTCTAAATAAACAATGCCAGATGCTAAAAAAAAAAAAAAAAAAAAACTTGAGGGAGAATCCATTAAAATGTTAGTGTCCGACTACTTAAAAATATTGGTGGAACAAGAAACAATGACTATCCTAGAGGTACTGTGTAAAATCTAAGTTTTTAGAAATGAAAACAGAATGGACCAATATTGCCATTAAAAAAAAATAAGTGACCGACCTAGGAAACAGACTCAGAGACCTAAGCTATTCACTCTAAGAAGTCCAAAGCCGGCAGGCTATAAATATGGAAATTCATAGGCAATCATATAATACAATAAGGCTAGCTGCACAGTGGCTCTAATGCTGCCACTCTTTCTCTCCCCCCCCCCCCCCTCCACCACACACACACACACACACACACACACACACACCCGACCTTTCTGTCCCAGCAGTCTTTCCCTCTGAGCCAAGATAAGGCTTCACAGGTTTCCTTAACCTAGCACTTCCGGCAGCCTCTACCCAACTCCCCACACTGTAGCTGCCATGGAAGTTGAAAACAACCTGTCATTTCTTCAGTAGAAGAGAATCCAAGATAGGAATTCACAGCCTAAAAATGGGAAAGCTCATGGGGCCTCTTCAAGGTGTAACATTCAAGAGGAAGACATTTAGATGCAGGCTTGCTAAATCCCTGAACTTTAGAAATAAAGAATGACGGCTTCGGGCAACTACAGAGGAAGTTAATATTTCAGGCCATCAGAGATAAGAATAGCTAGAGATCAGCCTATTAAAGCACAGAAAAGAAATGCACAGGACCTGCAGGAATTCTCCAGTGGCAACCTCGTCATTACCCAAGGGACATTTAACTTGGATCAGCTAGAGCTGCTTAAAAATAAGTAATGTTAGCAATCGGAGAATCATTGATGTAAGGTAAAGTTTAATTACTTTGTATGACAGCCTCTAAAAATGAGGGGAAAAGATACTTTAAATACATTTCAGAGTGTCAGTTCTATTAATCCTCAATGAGGTGTGGAGGGCAACTCAGATGGATCTAATAGTAGTATATTTCTTGTTACAGAGTCTCAAGTTGTTCTTTCTTTTTCTTTTTTCTTTCTAATAAATAAGCATGAGAATTTAGACAAATAAAGGCAAAGAACAATCTATTTTAAGATATCGTTGCATACAATAACCATTGATTTTTAAACACACTTATATAAGTACCACCCAAAAAGAGAGAAAAGAAAAACCCTACACAAAGCTTCATTACTACTTAGAATTTTTATTTTCTGTCTTGAAACTGTTCTTTTAGGGCTTATTGAGACAGGGGAGTGGGCACACTAGCAGAGCTACAACCAAACACACACATGTGGAAGTGTGAAAACTCACATCTACTTGCCTGACTGCACTTATAGAATGCCATCAATCTTAAGACACAACCTGATTTCAGGGTTGTTAAAATCTAAAAAAAAAAAAAAAAGGAAAGAAAAAGAAAAAGTGTGCCTTAGAATTGATGAACTAGGACAGTGGTCAGCAAACTGCGGCTCACAAGCCACATGCAGCTCTGTTGACTAATAAGTTTGCCAACCACTTAGGGAAAAACACTTAAAAAACATTTTAATAATGTACTAATGTCTTTAACCTGAAGTCAAAACTTCTGGGTAAGGGTAATGCCTTACGCAGCGGTCGGCAAACTCATTAGTCAACAGAGCAGCAAACCGTGGCTCGTGAGCTGCGGTTTGCCAACCACTGAACTAGGACATGCCAAATAAGTAACTTTCCAGGAGGGTTTTAAAGGAAAGAAGGTGCTTAAAACAGATGAATATGACTCAGCGTGACACATATTATACTACGGGGTGTACAGAATGTCTTGAATAAGGACTTGCCCAGGGGAAGCACAGGAGGCTTTCCAGGTAGGGCACAAGGATGTCCTCGGAGAAGGCAGAATGGAAAAAAGGAGGGAGAAACCCAGAAACAGAAAAGAAAAAAAAATAGTTCAAATATGACAGACTGGGTTAAAGGCCTCACTTCTAAGGTCCTGGGGATTCAAGGTTTTCACCTATTGGCCCCACCAGTGCCACTGTCCAATGAGGAGGGGAGAGCACTGTCCCTCATCTACAGACATACTCAGGGATCCTGTGGGTTTGGTTCCAGGTCCCTGCAATAAAATGAGTCATAATCTTTTTGCTAGGTCTGGCCTTCAATTTGTAAAAAACACAACATCTCTGAAGAGCAATAAAGCGAAGTGCAATAAAAGGAGGTATGCATGTGTATGTCGAGCGAGCTCGTGAATGTGTGAGCTTAGGCCTACGAGTTAGGGTCGTCTGTGGCCAAAGATCACAGCTGTTCTCCTTTCCTGTGTCGCCCCAGAGAAACTGGAGAGTGAGAAGCTGAACGTGGCTGAGGTCACCCAGTCAGAGATTGCGCAGAAGCAAAAGCTGCAGACTGTCCTGGAGAAGATCAATGAGACCCTGAAACTTCCTCCCAGAAGCATCAAGTGGAATGTGGACTGTGAGTGTTACCGAGAGAGGCGGGTCTGGGGAATGGTGCCGGTGGTCTGTACCATGAGGTTTTTCCAAGAAGCCAGCCAGGAAGCTGGCCGGCCCTGGGTGGGTGCAGGCCCATTCACCTTACTAAGGAGGGACACATCTCCTACCCTAAGGATTTGTCTCTGCGACAAGTGATGTCAAAATCCAGGATATCTTTTCTGTAGGAGCTCATGTAAGGTAGGGAGAGGAAGGACACTCGTGTTCATTGAGCTACATCTATGTCCCAGCATGACCTTCTGAGAATGCTCTTGTAGGGGCTTCAGGAAGCAGAGATCCCTAAGTGCAGGCAGCTGAGAAGCCAAGGGGGATAGAGGTAGGGGGAGGAGGCAAGGGCAGGCTCTAGAACAATACCCACAGCCTTTCTCTCCATCACTCATTTTCCAGAAGAAACAAAGATATGGCTGACATTGTAGGCACTGGCACAGGATTTTTCAGTTCAGGTTTCACAGCTAGCCAGGTCAAGGATCTCAGAAAGTGCGAACCATTCATTCTTATGCTTCAAGGGCCTAGATGTCTAATATGGACTTAATGTGTCCATAGCAGAACCAGCATTAAATCAGCAAACCGAATGAATCCATAGAGACGTTATTTCCCTCCTGTGGGGAGTCCAGAGTTGTTTAGTTGCTTGCAATAGATAAAAGTGTGAATTTAGATTGATAAAATGATTTAGGTTGCGTTCTTTGCCTTTGTTTTAAGTACTAAAGGGTTCAATACTATATCTCAGTGAACTCAATTTCTAAAACCTAAAATGGACACATCCTTCCCCTCCCCCATAAAAAACACCTTTCAAACTTAGCAAAGAAAAAGGAATCTTCACCTCTCAACGGAGAGACCCAGTAACTACCAGTGACAGTCTCTCCAGCAGGTTTCTAACATCTGACATTGGAGGCGAGACACCAAGTACCTCCTTCAGCATAATTACACCTTTGCTCGCACAGTGTGAAAAGCCAGCAAGCACAGCACCGGAACAGGGCATCCTCTGCCAGGAGACATAAGAGGAGGATGGGGAGGGGGAGGCCCTGGCTCTGGGCCCTCGATGCTGCCTGAGCTGTGTCCTGGGTGTGTTAATAGTGCTCAGTGCGGAAGGGAGGGAGGGAGGGAGGGAGGGAGGGAGGGAAAAGGAAGCTTGATCACTGGTTTGAGAAAGGTACCTGCATTTGGAAATCCACAACAGTCATAAGCATTGAAGCATAAAGTAATAAGCATCGAAGGCCTCTGATCAAGACCCCTGCTTAGTTTTTTTGTTTTGCTTTTTAATCCTATTTCCGACTCCTCTGGATACGAACCATCTCCATGTACCCTTCCAAACAAAACACTTTTTACCTTACGAGAGAACCCACCTGGGGAAAGGCTCGGAGAGGAGGTGGGGATTTGTACAAGCCACATGAGGACCACCACCCTGTGTACTGTCATTTCCCGCAGGGAAATGTGCACGAGTAAAATAATCGCTCACACTGCCTCTCTCGTCTGGCTATTTGCATCTTCACTCCCTACCCTCCACGTCAACGCATGTTTTTATTCGATGAGGTCCAGTACATCGTATGTTTTGCTATTTTTCACTCAGTAGTAAGTCATACATGTTTTCTGAATTCCCATGTGGTCTTCATAGTTACCGTTTCTGATAGCCGCTCTGTTTCCTGGGGTGAGCATCCCCTAGGAAACCTGACCCCTTTGGACGCTGATCATTTCAGGGCGGTGGGCAGCCTGTGGCCGATATCAGACGGTGCCGAGTTGAACGTCTTCGGTGGTGTCTCTTTTTGCTTTCCTTGAATTAGTCCTGTCACAGATTCCCAGAAGGGCGATAAAGGACGAGGTGGGAGGGAATGATTATTTCCAGGGCCAGCTCCCTAGGAGGCCTCAGGCCTGTTTACCAGCTGCCCTGGTTTCCTCCGGGAGGAATGTGGCAGGCACAGCCCTGAGGGAAGCACCGTCCCTCCCGTTATCTTTCCTGGTACTTGGAGGACATTGTGTCATCTTTCCAGGCAGGATAAGCGGGATGAGGAGAAGCACCTGGGGGGGAGGGGGGGACTGCAATTAGGATGCAGGGATTGGAGCAGCAGCTGTTCTTCCTTCATCTGTTTTGCCTAACAGCTTTTAGAACAAAGGTTTCTCTGCATAATAATAATAATAATAATAATAATAATAATAATAATAATAATAAAATTGCAAACCATGGGTCTAAAGGAACCTTTTGCTAGTGGACAGTATTTTCCAGATTTTTTTTAGTGGCAATATATTTCTCATACTACATGTACAAAGATGTTCATTATTGTGTGTGTGAGAGAAAGAGAGAGAGAGACACGACTGTATATTATTTCTTTTGAAAAAATAATTCCCCGGGCAGAGTACTCGTTGAAAGGGTCTGGCATGGGTATGGTGCTTATGACAGCTCTCTGTGTTGCTCCCCAGACAGTCACGATGACATACACTGTCACCAGCGAGCAAGAGCAAGCTTTAGGGCTACAGCTTTCCTAGCATTGTGTTTTGTGATTAAAGGGGGGAAAGGCAGCAAATGTCCTGAAACCCTGGGCGACTAGGCTGTGGGTGGGGCCGTTCTGATCACGTGAGTGCGCACACCACATCGGGAGCCTTCTCTGAGGCTGCCCTGACGGGTGAAACTTTTGACATCCTCAGCAGCTCAGAGCTGAACACTTCTGGGAGGTGGAGTTCGCAGCAGATCGCTGGCTGTTCGCTGCTGGATGGTGTTGCCGAGCGGCTGCCCCGCAGCCCGTGGAAAGCCTTGTGATAACAAGAAGCTCTAATGAGTTCCCAAGGAATGTCTGAATCACTTCCTTTTCTTGGTGATTTCTCAAGGCTTCTGTAGAGCAGACTCATCAATCCTGGCCCAGACAGAAGGACACCCAACGCTGGGCCCGGTTCGTGCTAAGTCCACAAAATGGGCACTTTTTTGTTCTTGCCTTAAATGACCCCTGTAATGAAGGATCACGAGGCTGGTAGGAACTGTGAAGGCAGGTAAAGTGTCTGGTGAAACTTCCCTTTTATGAGAAACAAAGGGGAGAGAGTGGTTTGATTGCCTAGATGCCAGGCACTTTCTCAAATTGTAATAAAAAAATATCAACCATTCCTGGGCACCTGCTACGGGCTGGGAACTTTGTTTACATTATCTCTGGAGATTCTTACATCCGTTATTTCTGCACGGGCACAGCTATCCCCATTTGTGAAGATGAGCAGATTGAGGCTGTGAGTCCTTCAGTGGCCTGCCAGAGGTCTTGTCGGCAGTAAATAAATGGTTGAGTTGTCAAATCAAAACTCAAGCTCAAGTCAGAACTCAAGCTCCAGTCTGCTCAACCATGTGTGCACCCCATTACGTCTCCGTCCCTTTCTCCTCAGATCTACTGAGAAAACTATAACCCTGTGCTTGGCAAACTGCATCTCTTTGGCCCCTTGAGTGTGGCTCTTCCACAAAATACCCCGGCCTGGGCGAGTCTATTTTGAAGAAGTTTAAAGTTTAAAAAATTTGGCTCTCAAAAAAAAATTTCAATCGTTGCACTGTTGATATTTGGGTCTGTTGACTAATGAGTTTGCCGACCACTGCTATAACCCAATAGTTGCCCAGATTTCTCTAGTATAAAGAGCTTAGCATCCAGCACATCGCTCTGTAGCTACAGAAGCCAACTGGTCCTGAACACTTCCTCCCAGGTATTCCCCAAGGAGCACTGCCTGCACTGACCATACCTGACACTCAAGAGAGCAACAAAGCCCTTTAGATAAGTCCTGCTTTCCTCCAGGGATCTTAGAGCCCTCATCAAAGGGGGAGGGGTCCAGCGTTCCTGGCTCAGTGTCTATGTATTGAGAGCCTGCTTTGGGTAGAGCCGAGGGACAAGGGTAGTGGTGATAATCCAAAGGGCTCAGAGTCAAGTGGGAAGGGAAGGAGGGTGCAAAGCAGACACACCCATGGTTGTTAAAATAGAATGAACAAAGACATGGAGGTGGTGGAGAGCTGACCTGAATTCAGAATTCAGCCACTGTCAGGGTCTCTGTGGGAGCCTTGGATCAAATCAGAGGCACAACCTTGGAAATCCAGCAATGGCATGATCTAAGAAGCTAGCTCCTTGGGACCTGGCCAAGAATGAGGTTGCCCAGGATGAGGCCTGCGATGACCCAGGGTGTCTCCTGATCCTCAGGGGTGGGAATACAGGGGCAGTGGATGTGACACATTTTGAATATCTGCTTGTATCTGCCTAGAACCTAGAAGATTCTCTGATTTTTTTACATCATCTTTCATTTCAGCTGTTCATGCCAAGAGCCTGGTAGCCATCCTACACCTGCTGGTTGCTCTGTCCCAGTATTTCAGGGCCCCAATCCGACTGCCAGACCATGTTTCCATCCAAGTGGTTGTGGTCCAGGTAAGACAGATGCCATGTGTGCAAAGGGTGGAAGAGTGTGTGCTTGTATATGGAATGCCTTAGGTGGGCAAGTACCGGGGTTTACGTGTTTTTGTTAGGAGGGTGACTGTGTAAGGTATATTTGAGGATGTGTGGTGTGTATGTTTGTGAGGTTGTCTAAAAGGATAAGGAGGAAAGAGGTGTGTGTGTATGTGTGCATGCACACCCTGCAAGCCATCGAGAATTATCTTTTGGGTAAACAGTGGTGCACAGGTATGAGGAAGAGATAGACGTGAGGGCACGTTTGTGTGTGTGTGTGTGTGTGTGTTTGAGAGACCCGACTGGCCCTGCCTGGACTGAGGACACTGCCCCTTTTCACCCGCCCCGAGAAGCACAGCTGGGCTCTCAAGTCATCTTTTCCAGATCGTTGGATGGAATTTCCATGCACTTGGCGGTGTAATTTCCACAATGAGGGTGTGCACTCTCCCTGTGACTATCTCATTCTACCCCTAACCCCATTAGATGCTCAAATTCAATTTTATTTTCCAACTTCATGCCATTTAGCAAAAGGTCATTTGGTTTGCTTGTTTCTGTTCTTTTCCAAATAATCATGCTGCAAGGGAAGACTCCCCTCATAAGCAGCTCCTGGAGTATCCAGGAATCTGGAATAGAGAATAACATGGCAGTTCTGCATCCAGTGGTGAGGAAGAGCCTGGAGGGTTGGTGAGCTCTGCCACACCAGGCCAGGCCAGTTTCCAGGACAAAAGGTCTTTGAGCTGAGCTTTCAGGGATCAGATGTGAATGGAAGAGGACTTGGGGGAGCTTAGTTGTGCCCTAAATGAAATTTCTTTTACACCTTCTGGGTACTGAACTTGCTACACATCCAGGGTCCAGGGGGTGGGGTGGGGATGTATAATAGGACTATGACACCTTGGCCCCGCCTACAGATAAGCAGCAGAGAAGGCTATCAGGGGCCCATAGCCAATGCCAATGTGTGTGGTGCAGACATAAGTGCAGGCGACTGATTGGCCTCATTTATTGAGCACTCAACTGTGTCAAGCATGGGCCTGAGCATTTTCTATCTGCTGTGGATACGTGACCAACCCTGAGCTTCCTGATCCAAGCATCTTCCTAGTGAATCCAGGCCATCTCTCTATTATGTTATTTTTACCCATCAATAATGTGTGAATCCGTTTCATTACTTTTTTTTTAACTATGATTCAAGATCTGAGCAGGAGAAGGGGCGGCGGGCTCCTATTTTGAAACAGTGGTCACTGCAAGCCCATGCCTTATGCCTTGTTTTGAGCTCAATTATGGGCCATCTGAAGGCTGTTGTTGGTTTAATTTGTCCTGTGGGCAGCCTTGTTAGCATGAGGGAGAAAAGAGGACACGTTACATAAAATGGCATCAATGCATGTCAGGTTTTATGGGGTGTTTTGCTTTATCAAGCTAAGCAGGCACAGAAGCAGGACTCGGAATTGGCTGTGAGTCACTGAACTACAGAGAGCTCTTTAGGGGAACAAACAGTGGCTGCCGTGTGAGGGGTCATTTAACCCAGATTTCTTCTCCCTTGTGTACAGAAGCATTTAATTCTGCATGATGTGTGGCTGAGGTTTTATATCTGTGAACGGCCTCACAAGACAAGGACACAGATTCCATCAGCCCCCCATAAAAGCATTACCTATGTTAAAGGTGTATTTGGGAAAGTTCTGATGTATCCTCATTGGGTCTCCTTTAAGGGATGTTTACTTCCTCTTTTGCTTTGCTAGTCCATTCTTCTTAACTTCTTGGAGCTATACTCTTTGCCTTTACCCAGGTTTACTTTTCCTTCTGTCAGTATTTTGCAAGGACCCTAGATTCTGTGGCTATTGAGAATGTGAGGAGAAGGTTCCGGAAGTTTTGGCAGGAGGGTCAAGAAGGCAGGTTTCAACAGGACACCAGTGCCAGAAGGTCCTTGTGGACACTCACCTCCGCCTTTGAGGAGGATGACTTTGCTGTGACAACTGATTTCCACACCCAGACCACCCTCCAAGGGCCTCTAGCTATGAAGGAACCTGATGCAATGCATCTCCCTGCTCATGCCCACCTGAAGGTCCTCCTGAACCCGAGCACTGCTTCACTAGCTCCCATGCTCACCCAGCGAGGCTTAAATTCTAAACCAGCCCTCACTTGGCTCCCCATTGTCTCGTGGCACCCTCCCTGCAAACCTCCCCCTCAATGCATTGTGCTCTAACTCTGCCTTTTTCCTTAGGCCATTCCTTCCTCAGGAATGGCCTCTCCTGTGTCCTTTGAATGCCAGCTCAAGGACCCCTCCCCTTGGGTGATTTCCCTGACCATCTCCAGCTGAATGTGCCTTTGTCTCTGCATAGGGTGACCATGTGATTTACTACCCAAGACACTTTTGAGAGTGAAAGGAATCCTACTAATAGCTCTCCTGGGTCATCAGGCAAAAACCCTGTTTGGGGGAAACCATTCTCATATACCTGCTTCATCTGTGACGTTTTACTCTTTAAGTTCCTCAAACTCCAATTCAAGGGCTTGTCCATAGAAAGTACTAACTAGGGGATTGTACTCAGAAGGCACTGATCAATGAAACAAAGAAGAGAGGATGAAGTGATGGGAGGGGGGTGGAATAGATGTCAGATAGATGGATAGGTAGGTAGGTGGGTAGTGGATGGATGGATAGGTGGATGGATGGAGGGGCTGGGTGGGCCTCCAAATTACTTAACTTTCCCCCAGAGAGTAAGCTAGTTACCTGAGGACTGTTCTGGTTATTTGAAAGCTCCTGTATTTACCCAGTAAAAAGAAGGAAAAACAAACTCTCCTTCTATTTGAATTCTCCAAGCTGGGCCCCGGTTCCTCCACCCCAGCTCCCTTAGCTGAATGTGTTTCTCGGCTTCCCTCTGTGGCCCCAGCTGGAGGGCAGACACACCCTGGCCTTCATTTCCATTTGGTTTACTGTGGATTACTCCAGGAGGCAAACAGTTTGCTTCCAACAGAATGTCTTCCAATAAAGAAAGAAAAGATTCACCATCCAAGAAACAGCCTACTTGTTTGGACTAAACACGAAACTGCACTGGAGTACCAATGGTACGGTCCAGACCCGGGAAGTCAGGGGCCTTGTTTCACTTCTGGAAGCTTCTCAACTCCAGACTCACGTTCTTCAGCACCAGTAACTTTCTCAGTATTGGGAATGCTAATTGGTATTTTGTATTTTTCTAAAGTATATTTTTCTCTTCTCCTCCCAACCCTTCTCCACACCCCCGTTTCAGAAACGAGAAGGAATCCTCCAGTCTCGGCAAATCCAAGAGGAAATAACTGGTAACACAGAGTATGTCAACACCATTGTTGCCAGCGATTCTGTAATGGAACACAGATGTTTCTCCGAAATTCGTCCATTTGCTGATATTTAGTTTTCATTTATTGGGATTGCAAGAGGGATTATACTTCAGCCAATGATTATAGCTTAGCGTTTTCCATGCATTCAAAACATGCCTCTCAATGCTTAAGGTACAAACTTGGGTGGGGAAGTGGGGAGAGAGAATTAGCAGTGATTGAAAAATTCTAATTTTGTGGCACTCCGGGAAAAAAGTGTGCCCCAAAAAGCTAACCAGCATGAAATCGTCATGCCATAAACATGGACTTGAATTTAAATTGCTAGCCTTCAAAAGAACGTTTTTCTTCCTTTTCTGAATCTGATTGATTTGGTCACATGCCATGACCCAGAAAGCCCCTCTCTACCTTAGAGTGGTGTTTTTATTGTTTTCACTTACTTGAAGAAATTGAAATATCAAAACATGTAAGCGGTTTGCCGCCGGGAAGACAAGTTTGGGTCTTAAGCAGAAAGAGCAGGACCGTGTGTGGGTTTGAGATCCCTGGGCAGGCCTGAGCCCTGGCCACATGCAAGGCCGGGCAGAGTTTGTTTTCTGGTCCATCCCTCCTCTATCCTCTCTTGAACAAGAAGATCGAAGTTAAAGAGCAGAGACCTCTAAGCCAGCCTTACTTGAGTTCAAATCCAGACTCTGCCACTTGACTCAACTTTGAGCCCCTCAATGTCTTCATCTCTGAAGCAGGGAGCATTTTGCTAACCACAGAGTGTGAGGATTTAACGTGGTAACAACCCTGCCCTCCCTTGCCCATGCCCTTCATTGCTGACTTTTCTGGCTTTTCCCCATTAGAGCTGACCCACACCATTTCAGCCCGATCTCTAGGAAACTCACTTCCTCTCCCCCATAGTGGCTGACGGAGGTCCAGAGCGGTGTGGACCTCACTATGAATGTGCCTTAAAGGGGCCCAGGAGTGTGGGCATTTCAGGCCCAGGATAGGGCAGAGGTGCGGGGAGGCCCTTCCCCAGATGTCCAGGTGATGGCCTTATTCTACGCCACTCCAGGGCCTGGTTCTGGCAGCCAGGAAAGCAGCTGATGTACAAGGCACACCCATTCTTGGCCTTGATTCTGTGAGGGGCGGGCTGAAAGCTGCCCTGACAGGCCCACGGGGAGGAGAATTACTCTCCATCCCGCCCCTACCTCTCCTAACCTCCGCTTATCCATGGAAAAGAGGAAAACGTGTCTGAGAGGATCCTGTGAGAAGCTCCCAAATCAGGGAACATGAAGTTTCAGTTTTCTGAGCAATCTCTCAGCTGCCCCTGTGCTTCCTATGGTCCCTTTCTGCCATCTTGCCACATAGACATAAACAAGGATGCAAACTCCTAATAATTTGACAATACACTACAGTCTCTGAAGCACACATGAAGCAATGATTATACCTCCTAAAACCCCACAGCCCAAAGGAGAAGGAGATTATCACTGGTTCACCCAGCAGTAAACTCCAAGTTCATTATTCTTTCCAATGCATTACCCACAAATCATGTAATGGGTGACAGAAGCGCAGTTGGAATAAACTAATGAGACCCCAAAACATATTAAGGAAAAAAATGTATTGAGCATTACCTATATACCAGGAATTGCGCTAAAATCTTTTACATATTAAATTATGTAATGCTCACAACATGCTATCTTCATTTTAGAGATAAGAGACCTGGTGCCCAGAGAGGTTCAGTAGCTTGCTCAAGGTCACACAGCAGACAAATGGCTCTGTGGGATTTAAACCTAAGTAGTCTGTCTTTTAACACTTGTGTTCTTAGTTCTTTGCTGCTTCACTGGTAAAAGTCCAGTTCCAATTCCTGCCCTCTTTGAGAAAAACCTATCTTGGAGCAAGGTGAGGTGCAATTTGATGGGTATCACAGGATGTATAGGAGAAAAACTTGCCCTCTCTAGGCCAATGCCCACAGTATCCTGGGCAGTGAACTTACTAAGTGTAGAATGCCAAGAGAACTTTGGGGCTTTTCAATCAAGGGCGAGGAGAGAAGATTCACACTGTTTTCTTTCTCCTTTTCCTACAGGGCTCTCTCCGGAAGGCATGGTGAGTTGCGTAAGGTTGTCCATTGGTGCTGGTGGCTTCCATGGGGGTCTGGTTAATTCTGCAACAGCTGGGAAGCATAAGCACTCAGCTTGCGTCCTGCATGTGTCTGCACCACCAGCCTGGTGACAGAGCTGTGTGGTAGGGAGGGTCTGCTTACTGGCGGGAAGAGGAAAACTAACCGCAGCTGCACAGTCCTTTCGCAACTAACCAGACCATGGGCATTGCTGGGCCTCTGGATGGGTGCTGGGCAGTCTTGCTCGAAGCATATGGTGACAGCAAAGAAAGGAGGTGTATTTACATGCTCGGACTGTCTCCTCTCTGCCCAGCCCTTCTCGAAGCTGCTTCTTTCTCTTTCCTTTTCATAGCTCCTGTCTCTCCCACCTCCCAGAACTTTGGGTTTGTTCACAAAGTCTGAGTGTCAGAGGTCCCAATCACTTTCCTGGAAGTCTCGGATTTGCCCAGCGGTACAGAGTAGGGAAATACAGACCCGGAACCTTCCCTGCCCCAGGTTTCCCTCCATTATTTCACTTCCCAGTTCAGAGAATGTGGGATGTGTGGCTTTGCTACTTCCTGTGATCCTGTATTTGCTGTGCATGTTTTGAATAATTCCAGTAATGCTAAAACAACTCAGATCAGTAGGCATACTGAGCAATGCACATCCTTTCTCATCTTTTATCTCATAACACACCTGGGAGGTTTCTTTCTCAGGTGGCATGTTAGAAGAGGAAACTGAAGCACAAAGCATTGAAGTGTCTAGATCACTCAAGAGGAAGTTCCCAACCTGCTTATTGATTCACGCTACCAGGATGATTGGCTGGGTGTCCTGGTTTTGATCATTAGGGCGTGAAGTGATTTGATATTTGGATATCGTTCTATCTCCAAAAAGCTTCCGAAACACTTTAGAGCCATGACTAAATCATAATGTAATGAATACAAAGACTGAAGAGAAATGACAGGTCCCCAGTTAAAGTGCCTAACCGAGCCACTCAATCCCGGCCCAGAAGAGGTTTGACACAGAGGATGGACACACACACACACACACACACACACACAGCTCCTTAGGTGAGCATACCCCAAATCTCTGCCCTAAACTCAGCTTCTAGAATTCCCAGCGCAGCCTCATGCCCCAGAAAGTTTCCATCTGTACCTGACCGTGTGGCCAGGATCTGGGGTGGGCTTCCCACCAGGAATCAGCTATGTCCTTCATCGACATTTCCCTCTTTTTCAGAACGTGATGCCTTCGACACCTTGTTCGACCATGCACCAGACAAGCTCAACGTGGTGAAAAAGGTGGGAGAGGGGTGTCTGGTAGGGAAGCAGTGGGGATGGAGCAAAATATTTTAGGAAACATCATTACCTACAGCTCACAAGCTTCCTAAACCTGGTTTCACCACCAAATCAAACATGGGCTTTCCTACTTGATGTCCATTTTTCCTGTCCCTTCTTCTCACTGGAGACTCATCCAGTGCCTTTCTTCTCCTGTCAGTGTGATAGCTTCTCTCAGAGGGTTCTGAGACTGCTATGAGCACCCTGTTTCCACCCTTACTCAATCTCCAGCCGTCCCTGCCTCCACACACAGACCTCCCTCTGTTCCTTGGGCAAAGGCACCTGCACCTAGAAAGGGCCTGGAAGGAGGGACCCAGTGGGGTCATTTCTTCTCTGGCCTCCTTCTTAATTTTCTTTTGGCCCCCTGACCCTGGGGTCAGACACTCCACCTCTCACTCAGGACTCCCAGCTCCTCTCACAGTTTGAATCACATGGCGTCCAGGACCGTAAACCCTTGGGAGCCTCCTTTCCTAGGAACTCCAGGGGCTTTGCAGAAAAGCCTCCCAGGCTGCTCACTCATCCTCACTCAGCTCGTCACGGTGACTCCAGGCCCAGTGCTCTCAGCAGAGTCTCCCTGGTCCTTGTCCTCACGGTGGAGTCACAAAGGTGGCCCCAAGGGCCTGGCACTGGTGAGTCTCCATCTCAAAGCCGCCTCTGCTTCTTTTTTTAGACTCTCATCACTTTTGTGAACAAGCATCTGAATAAACTGAACCTGGAGGTCACAGAACTGGAAACCCAGGTGAGTGACAGCCCCAAGTGCTGGGTGGGGAGCCAGGCCCTACTCAACTGCTACCATTCCAAGTGCCCCATCCCTGCACTGCCAGGAGGGCTTTCCACAAGCTTTTCCAGGAAGGAGGAGATTCTATTCCTCTTTGGACTTTATCTGAATTTATTCTGAGGAGTTGCAAGAATGTTATCATGAATATCTAAACACTCTTCACCTACATACGCCAATTATTAATATTTGGCCACATTTGTGTGTGTTCCCCCCCCCCCCCCCTTCACCTAAGTACTTCAACATACACCTCTTAATAATGAATACATTCTCTTAGATAACCACACCCACTGATCCAATTCTGGTAATTTTAACATTGATAGAATACATTTTTTAGGTTCAACCATATGCAATTGCTGGTATTTGACTACTTTTGACAATGTCACTTGGTTCAAAGAAACTCTATTATATATTCCAGTTTTTTCAGTCTCCCTAATATTCTCCCATGCAGTATTTAGTTGTCATGTTTCTTTAGTGTCTTGCTATAGACAGATCCTCAGCCTTTCTTTACAGGAAGTCATTTTTGAAGAGTGCAGGCCATTTGATTCACAGAATGTCTCTAAATGTCCCTTCTCACAATTAGATTCAGGTTATGCATTTTCAGTAACACCACCGCCTGAGTAATGCTGCCTTCTCAAACACTTTTGTCCAGTAGTCCGTGACTGGTGATAGTAACTTTGGTCACAGAGGTAAGCTAGTGTCCACCAGACCTCCCTAATGCAAAGGTCCTCTCTCTCCTTTATAAGTAATAACTAATCTTTAGTGGGAGATACTTTAAGGCTGTGTAATGTATTCTATTTCCCGACCTCCTTTCGTTTGTGATGAATTTCTAAAATGAGATTTTTCTTTTGAGCACATGGACATCTCTTCTTGTTTCTAAAAGCAATTCCTGGCCCAGCCAGTGTGGCTCAGTGGTTGATCATCAACCTATGAATCAGGGGATCAGGGCATAGGCCTGGGTTGCGGGCTTGGGCATGCAGGAAACAGCCAATCTATGATTCTCTCTCATCATTTGATGTTTCTGTCTCCCCTTCACCCTTCCTCTCAGAAATCATTTTAAAAATTTTTAAATAAATACATAATAAATAAAAGCAATTCCAGGTCTGTGCCTGAGTAGTGTCTGAGTGTGTCTGGACTCTGTGGGAATTTTATATGCTCTTTGGGGAGTTAGAGAACACTCTGGAAAAGTGATATTTCCTCGAGTGAGCTAGAATGAGCTCTGGGACTTTGCCTAAGTTTGCATGGACAGGGTGTGCTATGAAAGGGAGTCTCTGGTGAGTGTGTTTGGTATTTGTCTGCGGGTTTTACCATCAAGTCATCAGAAAGAGCAGTCAGGGTGGGAGCTGTTCATGTCAGTGACACTCAGAGCTATGAGTAACCTCGATCCTAACTCGAGGTCCTCCGGTGAGTTGGTAAGATTGGAATTTTTTATCCTCAGCTTATTCCAGCCATAGCCAGAATGAGGCCCAATTAACTGTTTCCATGGGGCTGGCCTTGATTTTAACATGGATGTCGGGTCTGCTCTTGAATTGTCCACCTCTGGGGTGACCTAGGATGAGTCATGCTCAGGCCCTACCCACCTGATGGATGGAAGCAGGCAGGAAGCTGTTCCTCTGCCAAGTTCATGCAGGGTTGTATGCCCATAACAAAGGCTAAACACAGGCCCACTAGCCAGCCACCTGGCAGATCTCTGACTCTGGGCCCAGCTCACATTCCGGGCAATTTTTTTTTAAGTTTCCTAAGATGATTCCAAGAACTTTGGCCTCTTGTGAACTCTAGCAACTGTTGTTTATGCCCATAAACATTTGGTGGCCCCACTTCCTTTGAAAGGTTCTAGGATACCAGAATCTTACCCGACCTCTCCACCATTGCTCAGGCCCCTCTCCATTCCTAGAACACCTACTCCTTCCAAAATTTCCCTCATCCCACAGGCCTCCACTCCTCCACAAAGCCTGCCCCAGTGCCCAGCACACACTCACCTTGCCCTTCCTTGAGCAGAATACCTGAATCCCTCTGCTTAGCCCAGGAATCGATGGTCCCTTAGACCAGATTCCCAACCCTTCCAGACTACTGTGCTTGATGGGAAAACAGGGCTCTAAGCCTCTTGTCCTGGCCCTCAGCACACAGTTGTACTCTGCCAGTAACTTGTGCCCTGATTACTTTGTTGTTTTCCCAGATAGTAAGCAATACACTACATCTTCACTTAACATTATCACTGGGGTCTTAGAAACTACGACTCAAAGCAAAATGACATATAACTAAACCAATTTTCCCATAGGCTAGTAGTTGATATAACCAAGTTCCTACAGCGTATTTTTGGTCACAAAAATGTCACCAAAGTTCTAAATAAAGACCCCCCTCCCCAACTTTTCTAATAGTAAACATTGGAAAAAATGTGCGTTCTGTGTACCTTTAAGAAATATTAATAAAAATAAGTAAGAATTATTTTCCAATCTGCTTCAGGGTCACAGGTGGCTAGAGCCTATCCCTGAAGCTCAGGGCACAAAGCAGGACTCAGCCCTTGACAAGACGCCCTTCCACCCACACTCACATAGACTGGGACACTGTAGACACACCAATTCATCTGATGTGTACATCTCTGGGATGTGGGAGGAAACCTGAGTACATGGAAAAAACCATGCAGACATGAGAACATGCCAACTTCACACAGACAGTAGCCACAGCTGAAAGTCAGTTTTTTTTTCTCATCAATGTTATAATGTAATGATGTTATTCGAGGGCCTGCTATATATTAAGTTTTGCCTACACATCAAGCAGTACTCTAGGTACTTTATATTATACCTATTAACTGGTTTAGTCCTCATGATAACCTTATTAAGTAGAAACTATACTACTGTTATCCTTATTTTATTAATGAGGAAAATGAGGAACAGAGAAGTTACGGTATGCAACTTGCTCAAATCACACAGCCAGTAAGTGGTAGAGCTGGAGGACTAGCTTCAGAGCCCAACTTCATAATAGCTACGCTGTGCTGCCTCTTAAGCAATGATACAGTGAGATATGAGAAAGGAGAATGATGAGGCCTGTATGACACTAGAGTTATTAATTCACAAAGCACTTCACCCTGCAATTGGCCTTGGACATCCCTTACCCTCCTTCTGCTCCACAGTAGCTAATTCCTGCTCATCCCTCCAGTCGCCATTCAGGCAGCAGCTCCTCTAGAAGCCTTCCCTGTTGCCTTCAGTGGGAGAGAGTGACCTTTGTCACTCACACAACCTGCGACCCTCCATCAGAGCAGCTGCATTTTCTCCAAATCAGTCTCCCTACTGGACTGTGAGCTCCTTAGGGAAGAGGCCACACATGGCCCATGACTGTGGTCCATGTGCCGGATTAGAGCTTGTAACATGGTCAGGGCTCAATAAATGCTGGATCATGCCCTGCTGGTGTGGCTTAGTGGTTGGGCACCAACTTATGAGCCAAGAGGTCCCGGTTCAATTCCTCGTCAGGGCATATGCCTGGGTTGCAGGCTCAATCCCAATGTGGGGCATGCAGGAGGCAGCCCATCAAAGATTCTCATCACTGATATTTCTATCTCTTTCTCCCTCTTCCTCTCTGAAATAAATAAAAAAATATTTTTAAAAGATTTAAAAAATAAAAATATTTTTAGAAAAAATATTTTAAATATTATAAAAATATTTAAAAATAAATAAATAAATGCTGGATCAACTGAGATCAGGACCATGGACGCTGTCTCCAGTAGTGGACCAGCCAGATATGGGACAGACCAGACATGTTGACATAGGAGCTGACGAGCCCTCTGGTTGAGGGGCTTGGCTGGCAACTCAAGGGCCCAGTGCCTTCACCTGGCTCTCTTTCTTCAGTTTGCAGATGGGGTGTACCTGGTGCTACTCATGGGGCTCCTGGAGGGCTACTTTGTGCCCCTGCACAGCTTCTTCCTGACCCCGGACAGCTTTGAACAGAAGGTAAGGAGAGGCAATGTGGGACGAGGCCCTAATCCACATGCTCTGACTCATCCATCTACGTCTATACTGGGGCCATCTGGGCAAAAGGCAGTGGCTTCCTGTCTACCCATGGTCTTCAGTAGTTGGATGGGGGGGCCCATTCTGATGAGCACTGAACTGGAAAGACTACAGAGCATCTGAACATTTCCTCCCCACCTACCCCCACCATAACCTGGCCTTGGTCCCCTATTCATATTCCCCAGCCAGGTGTCACTGCTCAGTCTCATCTCTCCCAGAAGTGACAAGGCTGGTTGTACCTGAGGACCCTCACTCAGCCTCATTTCAATGCCTCTTATAGGCTGCCATAGCCTGTGTGCTAGACAAGGGACATTTGATCCAAAGTAGAAACCCTTCTCTGCTTCTTGTGCACAAGTCTTGCTCTCTGATTCTTTCAGCTGAGAGCACTAATGTGCCTTAGTTGAAACACTGGTATTCTAACACAGGAACACAGTAGAGGATTTTGAACTTTTCCAGCAGTGCTCACTCCACATGGCCTTCCCATTTTGGTAACCTCACTTCTTCAAATTGGAAATTCTAGCTCAGCCTCTGTCCCTCTAGCTCCATCACTTCCCAGGGGCAGATCCCAAGACCCACAAGGGCCCAGGAGTGAGTGGGCAATAGCATATGCACTGCATTTCTCTTTCCAGGTCTTAAACGTCTCCTTTGCCTTTGAGCTCATGCAAGACGGAGGGCTGGAAAAGCCAAAACCTCGGCCAGAAGGTACTTTGCTCTTTTGCTGGGTTTGTGACAAGATGATGAGAACCTCTTCCTGTACATGAGTGTTGGGGACAGAGGGCAAGGCTCGTGGTTGAGAAAAGAAGGATGAGTTTCTTTTCAGAAATCTCTACCATTTTTTTTAGCAGCTAGGTGTGACAGGGTACAGCTGCCCAGTCCTGGAAATCCTTTGGGAGCTGCTAATCACATGGCCATCAGAAGTAAAAATCTGAAATCTCATGCATGGGATACAGGGGTAAGGGCTCAAGCAGATGTGGTGCATAGCAGAGGTGCTGCTGCAGAAACTGCCCTATGCCCAGTTTCCAGGTTCTTCGGTCCCTGGACAGGGTACTGACCTGCCAAATTGCTATATCCCAGGCCAGGCAGGGAAAGTTGCAGGAGTCATTGTTGGCAGCTCTTCTCTGAGCATAATTGCCTTTCCTGTCCTGTGCCTACTCCAAACTGCCCAAGGATGATTTGTTGGGTTTGGATTGAAAGTGTAAGGCTTAAAAAAATAAATAAATAAAGGCACAAATAACAAAATGCTCCACTAGCCCTTCTGTGCTGGTGCTTGGAGCTATGTGTGCATTTGTGCATGTAGGAGTTCTTCTTAGTACGGATATTTATTTTCTGAAACTTGCTGACTGAAATTTTTCATTTTACCAGCACTACCAAAGTTCATCAGTGATTGGATGGGGCAGGAGGATGTTATTCAATACTGTGTTGAAGATAATTTTCTGTTTATGTCAATTTGGAATATTAAAAATGCCATATGTGGGTCCTCTTGCTTGACTTTCCTGGGTGTTTAAAGGCAAGTGGACAAGTAAGGATTGTGTACTTTCTCTCCCCATTGCTGCCTCTGCTCCGAATTCTTTCACCCAAACCTTCACATGGGAGTGGTCCTTCACTGCCTGTCCAGTGGGCCTGAGACTCCCATGCGAAGAGAGGTAGGCTAGCCTGACCTCAGTGCACTTGAGGCCACTCAGGGGAGAAAAGAGATGTACCCAGTCACCAGAACAAAAGGACAATGGTGATAATTGCCATGAAAAAGATACAACTAAGAGGTTGATAGAATTGAGGGGGTGATGCTCTCCTCTCTCTGAGGTGGAGGATGGTTTCATAGACATGGTGGTAGTTGGGCTAAACCATAAGGATCAGATAGGATTTCTGTTTGGAGATTAGAAAGAGGGGCGGCAGGTTCAAGCAGAGGCTGACCTTGACCTGCACTAGTTCCCCTCCTAAGGACCTTCCAGAACCAACACAACTGGTGGTTGGCTTCAGACCACCCCAGAACGCCACCCAATCAGCTCGACAAACAACACACCCAATTGGCAGGCTTGGCTGCATCAAAACCCTAAAGTGACTCTTGCTCTGTGGGTCAGTCCCAGCATAACAGCTCATCTGCAATAGTCACAACCAGCCCTCGCAACCAGGCAACCTGAGGGCCAGTCCACTGACTGATGTGCCAGCAGCAGTCATGGCTCAACTACATTAGGAAGGCATATACAAAACACACAAGGGACTCCACTGGAGCAGCTCAGGTAACCAGGCAGACTGCACTTCTGGGCCCCACAGGACACAAGCAATCTACCAGATGCAGATTTTAAAACAGTGTTTATAAGGATGCTTAATGATCTTAGGGAGAAAAAATAGATGAACTCAGTGAGGACTTTGGCAAAGAGATAGAAAACGTAAAAAAAGAAGCAGTCGGAAATTAAAAATAAAATAACTGAAATGAAAAATACATTAGAGCTGAAACCGATTTGGCTCAATGGATAGAGCATCAGCCTGCGGAATGAAAGGTCCCGGGTTCGATTCCGGTCAGGGGCATGTACCTTGGTTTTGGGCGCATCCCCGGTAGGAGAGGTGCAGGAGGCAGCTGATTGATGTTTCTCTCTCATCGATGTTTCTAATTCTCTATCCCTCTCCCTTCCTCTCTATAAAAAAATCAATAAAATATTTTTAAAAATATGTTAGAAGCAATCAACAACAGATTAGAATTATGACTCATAGGTTGAAAACCACTGCTATAGAGCCTATGACTATCGGAAAACACAGGTATTTACATTACGATTCATTAACAATAGCAAAATTACAGTTATGAAGTAGCAACAAAAATGATTTTATGGTTGGGGATCACCATAACATGAGGTAATTAAAGGGTAATGGCATTAGAAAGGTTGAGAACCACTGGATTAGATGAAGCAGAGGATTGAATAAGTGATCTGGGAGAAGAAGCAGCAGAAAACACCCATTATATCAATAGTACCAAAAAGAAAAATAATTTTAAAAAATTAGGATAGTTTAAGGGACCTGAAGGACAACATTAAGCATATAAGGGACCTGAGGTACAACATCAAGCAAACATTTGGATCACAAGGGTACCACAAGGGCAAGAGAGAGAACAAGGAACTGAAAAATTCCCTAACCTGGCAAAGGAAATAGACATACAAATCAAAGAAGTGCAGAGAGTGCCAAACAAGATGACCCCAATGAGGCTCACACCAAGACACATCATAATTAAAATGCCAAAGGTTATAGACAAAGATTGCATCTTAAAAATATCAAGAGAAAAGCAGTTAATTACATAAAAGGGAGCTTCCATAAGACTGTCAGCTGATTTCTCAACAGAAACCTTGCAGGCCAAAAGGAATGGCAAGAAATATTTAAAGTTACAAAAGGCAAAGACAACTAAGAATGCTCTACCCAGTAAGGCTATCATTTAGAATCAAAAGAGAAGTAAGAGTTTTGCAGACAAGGAAAAGCTAAAAGAGTTCATCACTACTAAACCAGTATTACAACAAATTTTACAAAAAATGTTAAAGGGACATCTTTAAGAAGAGAAAAAAAGATCAAAAATATAAATAATAAAATATAGGAAAGAAAAAGTTCTTATTGATAAAAGCAAACATACTAAATAAAAGTGGTGGATCACCAACTATAAAGCTAGTAAAAAAAAAAGTTAAAAGGGAAAGTAGGAAAATCATGTGTAATTACAACAAACACAAAAGAAGAAAAAGAGAATGATAAAAACATAAATGAGGGGGTGAGTAAAATTTGTAGTGATTTTAGAATGTGTTCAAACTTAAGTGACCATCATCTTAAAATAAACAGCTATAAACATAGCTTAGGTTGGGGCAAAAGTAGGTTTACAGTTATGAGTACTTGAAACAAAAAAATTTATTCTTGTATTATTATTTACTAATTATTATATTATACTCCATTTGAACAACTACTTCTGGTTCACCCCGTATATATAAACTACATGGAAACCACAAAGCAAAAAATCTATGAGTTATACAAGAAATTAGGCATACAGGGAGAGCTCAATAATAATATAGTAATGGATAGAACATCCAGACAGAAAATCAACAAGAAAAGAGTGGCCCTAAATTACACATCAAATCAGATGAATTTAATTGATTTTTTTCTAGAACATTTCTCCTCAGAGCAACAATATACACTATTTTTGAGTGTATGTAGTGGGACATTTTCCAGGATAGGTCACATTAGGCCACAAATCAAATTTTAATAAATTTAAGAAGATCGAGCCAAAACCAGTTTGGCTCAGTGGTAGAGCGTCGGTCTGCGGACTGAAAGGTCCCGGGTTCGATTCCGGTCAAGATCATGTAGGTTGGTTGCGGGCACATCCCCGGTAGGGGGTGTGTAAGAGGCAGCTGGTCGATGTTTCTCTCTCATCGACGTTTCTAGATCTCTATCTCTCTCCTTCCTCTCTGTAAAAAATCAATAAAATATATATTTTTTTTAAATTTAAGAAGATTGAAATCATAACAAGTATTTTCTCTGATCACAATGGTATAATAATAAAATCAACTATAAGTAGAGATTAAATAATGGTACTAAACAATGAATGGGTTACCAATGAAATCAAGGAATAAATCAAAGTTAAGTTGAAACAAATGAAAACCTAACATCCTAAAAATCTGTGGAACACAACCAGAACAGTTCTAAGAGGGAAATTCATAGCTATATAGGCCTATTTCAAGAAACAAGAAAAATCTCAAACAATCTATCCTTTTAACTAAAAGAACTAGAGAAAAGAAAATGCCCAAAATGAGTTGAAGAAAGGAGATGAGAGTGGAAATAAATGAAATTAGTCCAAAAAGAAATGAGAGTGGAAATAAATGAAATTAGTCCAAAAAGAATAGAAGATATCAATGAAACAAAGAGCTGGTTCATTAGAAAAATAAAATTGATAAACCTTTAGCAAGACTCCAAGAATAAAGGAGAAGGCCTTTAATAAAATTCTATCTAATAAAGAGGGAATTATGCTAATTGATGGTCACACCCTCACAAAGATGGTAGTGCCCACAGCCAATAAGGAGGGAATATGCTAATTGACTGCCACACCCTCAAAGATGGTGACGCCCACAGCCGTAAAATTGGAGCACCCAGTCCCCTCAGCCCTGCTGTGGTGGCACAGCCAGGCCTGCCCCCAGGTGGATCTGGCCACTCTGCATGCCTGCCCCCGGAGTCCCCCAATCCTCTCACTCCCTCAGCTGCCCAGGGCAGACCTGAGGTGCAGGCAAGCCTCAGATGGTGGCTGCCCAGCCACCCAGGGCCACCCAAGGCTCAGGTAACCAGTGCTGGCTGTGGCAGCAGCAGAGGTGTGATGGGGTGTCACCTTCCCCTGATCGTTGGATCCCCTCCCACCCCTGAGGGCTCCCAGACTGTGAGAAGGGGCAGGCCAGGCTGAGGGACACCCCCCCCCCCCCAACTTCCAATGCATGAATTTTCATGCACTGGGCCTCTAATACAATTAGAAATGAAAAAGGAGAAGTGACAACTGGCACAGCAAAAATATTGTACAAAGGAAGATCATATACAATGATCAAGGGAGATTTATTCCCAGGATGCCAGATTGGTTCCAGTTTTGCAAATTAATTAATGTGATACAACCCATAAACAAAATGAAAAATACAAATCATATGACTATATCAACAGATACAGATAAAGCACATGACAAAATCCAACACCCATTTATGATTAAAACTTTCAGTAAAGTGGGGATAAATGGAACATACCTCAACATAATAAAGTCGATATATGACAAAACCACAGCTAACATTATATTACACAGTTGAAAGCTGAAAGCCTTCTCTTTAAGATCAGGATGTTCACTTTCTCTACTTTTATTGAATACTAGAGGCCTGGTGCACAAAATTCGTGCATGGGGGTAGGGGGGTGTCCCTCAGCCCAGCCTGCACCCTCTCCAATCTGGGACCCCTCGAGGGATGTCCCACTACCCGTTTAGACCATGCTAGTGGTTCTCAACCTGTGGGTCACAACAGAAAAAAAAAAAAAAAAAAAAAAAAAGATAAAAAATATAAATAAGAAAATACAGGAAAGAACCACTAGCAGTGTCACCTAAGGCCATTGGAAATCACAGATATTTACATTATGAATCATTAACAGTAGAAAAATTACAGTTATGAAGTGGCAATAAAAATAATTTTATGGTTGGGGGTCACCACAACATGAGGAACTGTATTAAAGGGTCATGGCATTAGAAAGGTTGAGAACCACTGCACTAAATAGTTTTTTTCACAGTGAAGGAGACCAGCAACAAAATGAAAAAGACTGTGTCCCTCTAGAGCAGGGGTTAGAAATATCTGGCCTGTGGGCCATATAAGGCCCAAGAAATCATTTGGTCTGACCCTTCTGAGGCATTAGGGGTGAGTTAATTAAATGTTTGACCAAATATAGCAGGCTCATTTTTTAGTTGGTAATTTTGCATGGCCCTTGAATGATGATATAAATATCCAAATGGCCCCTTGGCAGACAAAAGTTTCCCCATCTCTGTTGTATAGTGTCTCTTCCTGGGAAGGCCACTCTAGTATCCTAATGGCATGAGGAATGGTCCCCGAGTAGACTGTACCCAGTTGGTGAGCACCCTATCTTTGGGTAGGAGAGAGATAATAGGAGAGCTGTGGTCAGTATGTTTGCTTCTGTTTCTTCAAGCTGCTTTATATGAACTTCCTAGTGATGGGCTAGAAGTACTCATTCTGATATTTCAGTGTTCAGGCATTTATTTCCCTCAAGACAGACAAGTTTCCCAACGTCAATTAACTGATAGGGATATTTCAGCACCTCCATGACAAGTCTCGTACAATTATTGAACTAACTAATATGAAACTTCCTGCCCAAGGGGAATGGAGAAACACATCTGTTTTATCCGTTGTTACACTGGGCGTCACGCCCAGGCTGAGAATTTCCAGTGCGTAAAGGAGAAATGAACCGGTGTTTGGTGAAATGGTACCTGGTGAGGGGTGTACCCAGCACTCCCTCTGCATGCATGCTCCTCCCTGGACAGGGAAATCTGGCAGTGAATGCAACAGGATTTATGAAATGTGTTGATGTGCGCCATTCTTTTAGGGTGTTTCAGAATCAATTAGGGCCTTAACCAGTTTGGCTCAGTGGATAGAGCATTAGCCTGCAGACCAAGAGGTCCCAGGTTCGATTCTGGTCAAGGGCATGTACCTTGGTTGCAGGCTCCTACCCAGCTGGGGCCCTGGTTGAGGTGTGTGCAGGAGGCAACCAATCGATGTGTCTCTCTCACATCTATGTTTCTCTGTTCTTCCCTCTTCCACTCTAAAAATCAGTGGGAAAATATCCTCAGGTGAGGATTAAAAATAAAAAATAAAAATCAATGGAAAAATATCTTCTGTAGACAGTGGTGGAGACATTTTTCATGGCAAAGTGATTTCAAGGTCAGGAAAACATCCTCTGCCAGGCTGTTTGACACTCAGCCCTGCTGTACCCCGAAATCCCCTGGAAACTTGGAGTTTGTATCTCAGAGGACCTTTGCTGCCCAAACTTCACAACCATTTAGTTCTCTGGAAACACAAACCTCCCAAAGGCTGAACAGTCCAGCTAGAGTGAGTAGAAAGGATTGGGGAGGGCAAGAGGCTTTGAGGAGCCTGTTTCATGGCTCCAGTACCATCCAACCTTCCCCTTCACGCTCACTCCCTTGGTAAGCTCACTTTCTCTCCTCTCTGCTTGTCTAGCAGTTTCTACCTGGGGTAACTTCCTGGTCTTTGACTTGAGTAGAATTTAACAAACACAACACCAAGCTGCATTCATGCCCCATCAGCCCTAAGCCTTTGGGGCTGATTTTTATCATAGGACAAGAATCATCCCTAGTGCATAGGGCTGATGGGGCTTGAATGTGGCTCAGCCTCTGGGTTGAGGCTCAGATATAGGCATGAACCAGCCTGGGAGCAGAAAGGGAGGCCAAGTGCCAGGCCTGGGAGCGCCTGGTCCATCAACAGAAGTTGGAGCTGATTCCAAGCCCAGCTGGGGTGGGAGAGGGTCAGTCTGCAACTGGGATAAGGCCCAGTAGGGGCATACAGGAGGGTGTCTAGGGATGGAGAGGAGCCCTAAAGAGGTTCCCCAGGCTCTTGGTATGTAGCCCTGTGGCTGCACTTGTCTGTGGCGACCACATGGGCAAGGGTCCCAAGGCTGAGATCCGGGAACCACAGTCTAGCCATACAGAGCCAATGGCCTCCATTCTGTCTGGCCTTGGAGGACCCCTGACCCCAGACAAGGGCGTTGCTAGAGTGCTGACATCTTCCCAGCCTCTCAGACTGTTCTCCCCCACCTTCGAATCCCAAAGCACTTATTGTTTTCTCTGATATCATTTACCTCCTCTGACCTTCTGCACAGTCAGGTGTCCTTTTAATCATCTTTACTGTGAAAATATCACAGTTACAGAAAGGGGCTTAAGATATAGATGTTCAGGTTAGTGAAATATTACCTAGCGAGCCACCAGGCAACCACCACCAACTCAGGGAGAGGAGCCCTCCCAGCTTCCGAGAGTTCCTGCCAGACTTACCTTTGGAACAGAATCCTCTCCCTCCTCCCTGAAGAAGGCCTCTCTGCTGACTATTACCGGCTTTTGTCTTTTTATTTTATTTGCATTTTCTTACAATTTTATTGCCTTAGGGTGCATTCCTGAATAGTAGGCAGAGTTCCTTTTTTTCTTGTATGTTTTCCAACTCCAGTTATTTGGAGGAAGGCACTCCCAGGGAGTGAGAGCAGGGACCTTGGTGGGGGAGGAGGTGGGGGAGGGGCCTGCAGAGGGTTAGAGGGACAGCCAGGGAAGGAAGTGACCACTAAATAAAAGGGAGGAAAGAAGAAAGGGAGAGAGGGAGAGAGGGAGGGAGGAAGGGAGGGAAAGAGGGAGGGAGGGAGGAAGGGAGGGAGGGAGGGAGGGAATGGAGGAAATGGTTGTATAAAAGCTTGGGAACTCATGGAGAACTCTCCTGAAAATCTAATCCTACTCCCAGCCTCAAACCCAGCTGCCTGGCTCTTCTTAATCTGAAACTGTCTGGCCTCTGAGGCATATGGTTACCCAGCACTCTCTGCCTGGGCTTCTGTGTCCTCCAGGGTCCTCCCTTCCTGAGGGAGAGGCAGTTTAGCCCTAACTCCCCACCTCTTTGCCGGTAGCCTCAGATTCTCCCCTTCTTCCTACCACTCATGGCTGGTTCTGTGGCGAGGGGCGCCCCCCTGGGACAGGTGTGACTTAGGGGAAAGTCAGGATCAGGGAAGCACCCCTTGTACCTGGCGATGCTATGTCTGGGGTGAAGGCTACATGAGCTTCATTCTACTGAGAGGCCATGCCCCTGGCTCAGCACGGCTGCCCCTCACTGCTCCCTGCTCTGAATTCTTGCTGAACACTCCACAACCCATCCTTCCGCACCCACCATGGTCTCCTGGGGGATGCTGGAGCACAGCATGATGCCCTGTGGCTGCAGGGGCATCCACGCAGGACCATGGGGGCACACGCGGTGGGTGGTGGATGGGAGAGGTTAACAGATGCCAACTTTGGGTCACATGTGTTTCCCCCCCCCTACCCCCCCCCCCCCCCCCCCCCGCCAAAGCTTTACGTATTTTTTTCTCTACACAGACATCGTCAACTGTGACCTGAAATCCACTCTGCGAGTGTTGTACAACCTCTTCACCAAGTACCGGAACGTGGACTGAGGGACAGGCGGCACCGTCCTCCGAACCACCTTAACCTGCTTATTCCTGCCTCCCGCTCTGTGCCGTCCCACAAAGCCCAGCCACGATCAGACATCCTGGGGACCAAATTAGGAAGGAAACGATCAGAAATCCAGTGGGCTGACCCATACCTCCCAAGCCCTGGGGTCGGAGCCAGCAGTGGCCTCAGAAGATTGTCCCCATCCTGGTGCTGGATCCAGATTTCCCTGTGTCTCTTGGGAACCAGCTTAGGTCCAAAAGACACCCCCCCCCCCAAAGATGAAAATAGAGATAATAGTTACCATTTAATGGGTATAAACTATGTGCCAGACAGCACACTAAGTGCTCTGATGTACTCACATTCATTAGTCCTCATGACTTCTGCTGAAGCAGGTGTAATACACCCCTTCCCCAGACGAGGAAAAGGCTCAGAGAGGTAGAGACTTGTCAGAACTTGACATTTGTTTTTCCTCTTGAATAACATACGTATTTGTTCATAACTAGCCAATTATATCACATTCTTTGCCTGTCCTATAGCTGCATGTGTATGTGTGCACATATGCACACCCACCAAGACAGGCGCCCACTGACCTCGCCACCGAGCAGGCCAGGAGGGCCTAGTGATGCACACTCAAATTGGCAAATTTAACCCAATTAATAGTGTATGTGTGGCAGGAATCATGTCCCTCGGCTCCTTTGTACAAATGAAAATTACTCTTAATTCCTTCAGATTTGTAATAACCCCCATGCTCTGGTTTCAGGGCGACATTTGGGGAAGGATTCTGTTTAAAATTAATGGAGTGGCACATTTTACAACCTTTTTGCTTGATTGCACGTAATGGAAGTGCCCCATATTTTACTGCAAAATAAGTACTCAATTCATTATCATTAGGCAAATGTACACTATACGCCAGCACCACTGAGCGCCGGGCAGAGGCCCACGTGAGCGTGGCTTGGGAAGAAGTAGGGCTCTTCACCGGGGACCCTTGAACTTTAAAGAAAGGAACTCCTCTTTGCCTTCTAATTGGTCATTTAGACCATTCCTGGCCGAGTCTGCCCACATGCAATTACCGGCTAATTCAGGCGAGGAAAAATGTAAGCCATTCAGACCCAAGCCGAGCCGTTCCCTTGCGTGGGCTCCTGGCGGGCTGCTGGGGGCTTGCATCCCCGCTCAGTGAACCCAGCTTGGAAACACAGGGCTCTGGTTGTCCCAGGCTGCCGGGGCCTGGGCAGCTAGGAAAGGGGCTAAAGTAGGGGTGACTAGGAGGACAAGAAGCATGGGGTGGGGAGCATATTTGCACACTTCACAATAAGGAAATACCCTCAGACGAGGGACGGGGCTTGTGGGGTTTACAGTCTTCGTAAACTGACCAAGGCCTTGGGGTAATTAACAACTCTTACTGGTATGTCATCTTCATTATAGAATCTTCTCAACTATGCCAGATGGGCCCAGCCTGTGTGCCCGCCTCCAGAAGTCTGTGCCCATTGCACAGAGCCCTCTTCTAGTCAATTCATTCTGATCCCTGTCTACGCCACCTGGAGTTAGGCCTCCCATACTGTCCAAAGCATTTCCTTCCAGCTCCGAAACATTTCCTTCCCTGCGGTCCATCTGCAGTGGCTCAGAACCCAAACAATTTACAGATAATGCACATCCCTTTGGATATTGTGCTCTAAGGAAAAGAATTGTTAATCAGCAATAATGAGCATTTGAGATGCAAAGACAATGTACCCTTGTGTCAATTTATGTGAAAAGATACAATTATTTTTTACATAAGTGGTGAAATGTTATGTTTTTCATTAGGAAGTACTAAATAGTGTAATATTTGTTTGTTCTCTTTTCAATTCCTGATAGCTAAGTCGTTGCTTTGTCTCCTTGAGCAGTACTAAAGCGGATGAAGTAAGAGCAATGAGTACATGTAAACCTGCTTTGCTCTCCGAATTCTCTCCCTTGTTTTGTCTTTTGTTTTCCTGTATTCGAGCTGCAAACGCACACTGTAGGGTATGTCCTTATGAAGAGCACTCCTTTTTTGGATTTTGCATACACACCTCATGAAAACAGCTTGAACACTGGGGAAGTTGAATCACAGCTCTAACTTATCAGACTATTGTTTCAAGACTGAGGCCTTACACTCAGTCCAGAATCCTAGGGCCTGGGCCTGCTTTTATCACTCTGTCATCTCCTTCAGCAGTTTTCCTCTAGATTCTCCTTTCAATACACGGCCATGGTTTTGAAGGGGGAAAAGGTGCCAGAACAATAAAGAAACCAAACTTAACCTTTATCTCAAAAAAAACAACAAACGAAAAAAAACCCACAAAAACAAAACCTGAGACAAAAAGGTAGTCTCTATAAGCTCACTCCTTTTCTTGTCTAAATTTAAATTCATTGGTATTTTTAATAGTTACTATATAAATGGTACAGAATTCAAGAAGCATGAGTGAGTATCCCTGTCCCCAGCAGCCAATACTCCTAAGAGGTTACTATTTTGATCCATTTCTTATATTCCTTTCTAGAGATAATCTAGCCATAAAAGCATCAACTTGCATATAAGATTGTCGGGAATTTTTTAAAATATAGATAGCATTTTCATATATTCTGTCAGACTCATTGCTTTTTCCACTTAATGTTATATGTTGGAGATTATTTTACACTGAGTATTAAAACCTTTTACATGTTAAAGATGAAAATCTGAGCACTCTGTAAACCCCAAGGCCCATCTCTGGGTCCGCTTGTGTGAGGAAATGAAAGCCTTACCCAAAGGTGGTGATGCTACCTGGGTAATGATTTCAAAGGTCAGAGACTGAGACCTACTGGGTGGGAAGAAGGTCTCACAGGGCATGTTACTGGAGACATTCCCATGTGCCCTGAACTGATTTTTTTGTTAAGTCCTCTTTTGGATTATTATGGTGAGTGGTGTGCAGTTTGATTACGCTTCCATTTGTACATTGTTACTAGGGCTGCTAATGTGAAATCAACTAAGTATCCTACCATGTTCTGCTGCAAGCCCAGCAGCCCCATGCTGCTCCTCTGTCAGTCAGGAGGCTCTGATTTCACATGCGCAGGCACAGGGCTGACATTTGCAAAATCTGGGAGAAGGGCTCTTTAACAGCACATCATCAGCATTGCCCAAGTTGGTTGCAATTTGCAATTGCTACTCTCGGTACTTTTTAATTATGAAATACTGTGAGCTTTGCTATATCATTATCAACTTATTTTGTTGTGGGTTGCCTGGTTAACCCTACAAAGTGTACTGAAGCCTATTTGCATCAACAGTACCCTGGGGCTATAATTTTCCAATAACTAGCCTCTCAGACATGTATACATTGTGGTTCAAATGTGAATTATCCATACTCCAGGGCTAGAGCAAAGGCATACATAATCCTCTCCCCCCGAATTATCACCAATTTATTTTTCCACTGGAAAATGAAACTAGACAAAGTTGGTAGGGCAGGCAGTTTGGTCCAAAGGAGAGGCTGACCAAAAGGAATCTGAGACCCACTGCCTTTCATACAGCCCCACCTCAGGAACTCTGCCTACATAACATATGCTAGATGTGCAAAAGGGCTATGTCCTAAAATCTTCACTAATGTTAATATTACATACACTGTCCCCTCACAAAATTCACTTAGGTCTATTGGAATATGCAAAAAGAGTGTCTGTGGCTACAGAAAACAAGAGAACTGCATTGAGATGCAAATACTGGGTAGTAGATGGACGCACTCACCAGCTAAGGGACCTGCATCTATGCACCGGCTTCCTGACATTTTTGCAGGTTCAGGTCTCAGCAAAGGACAAGTGGGCATATATGAATGGTTCACTGTCATAATTACAGAGACTATATCTGCCAGACTTACTACATGTTCCCTTTTCTTTTCCCTGAAAAATATAAACCCAAGCTAGCTCCATCATTTTTCAGAATTTGCTCACACTCCTGCTTTACTGTAGTGCTGGCTGAATATGTGCCTACGTGTTCACAACCACAAGGCAACTGTGAGGTTGCTCAGGATGGGCAGCCCCCACACCACGCCTGACAATCTTCCTCCCTTCCCAGGGAGGAAGCCACCGATGAAGCATTCTGCGGGATGTTAATAGATGTTCAGTGTAAAAAATGTCATAATTCAAGTAAGTTTGGGAAACCGGGTAAAGAAATATAAATTCACTTTCTACAGTGTAGGTTTTCATTTTTACTTTTTGTTTTCTAATTGGAGCTCATCTCAGAGTTCCCTACACTCTTGTGCATTGTCACTCTCTAAGGGGAGGCAGAATAGGGCGCACCCTGATCGTGTTGACCATAGGTCCTATTTGTCTCCTGAGAAATTGGCAGGATGATATCTTGGAACTCATCCATTCATTTAGCCATATAGTCAACAAGCATGTGCTGAGGGTCTACAATGTAGTAGGTGGGCTGTGTCCACTGGCAAGTGAGGCTAAGGCACACTCATATTGTTCAATCTAATGGGAAAGACATGCAAAAAGTAGTCACAAATCAATGGTACAGAAATGTCTCACTTAACTCTTCAGTAGGTTCTTGGAAACTGCAACTTTGAGTGAAACAACAAAATGAAACCAATTTTACCATTGATTAATTAACATATACAAGAACTAAGTTCCTACAGCATATTTCTGGTCACAAAACATCACCAAACTTCTAAGTAAAGGCCCCAAACACTTCAAGTATTAAACATGAAAATGAATCTGAGAAAGCAAACCGAAACCCTTAGGGAAAACCCACTCAGACACAGAAGAACATGCCAACTTCACAGAGAGTGGCCCTGGCCAGGAATCAATTTTTTCTCTCTCTTATAAACATTAGAATGAAACAAAGTCGAATAAAACAATGTTATTCAAGAACCTACTCTACTTACACCTTGTGATGACTACTGTGGATAAGTACAAAATCTATGAAGGAGGTCTCATTTAGATTTTGAAATCAAGAGAGTTCTCTGAAAAAAAGAGAGAGAGAGAGGGGGGGGGAGGGAGGGAGGGAGGGAGGGAGAGAGAGGTAGGTCTCTGGCAAAGTCGCCTTTTAAAGTGACACCTGAATCATTGAGCTACTCAGGTGAAGAGTTTGCTTTTCAAGGGAGCAGTCCAGATGAGGACCCCAATTTAGGAGAAGATTGGGCCCCTGGAGGGACTAGCAGAAAGCCAGGATGGCTAGAATACAAAGGGGGAGAAGGATGGAGAGGTATCAGAGGATTGCAGCAGATTTTATCACAAGAAAAATGGGAAGTAATATATGTTAAAAAGCTTTCTGAACCATGCCCACTCATGTGGGATATAAAATTGAAAGCCACAAATGAACAAATGAGATAAACAAACAAAGCTCACAGGCACAGACAACAGTATGGTGGTTACCAGAGAGAAGGGGTCAAATATATGGCGACAGAAGAAGATTTGACTTTGGGTGGTGGGCACATAAAGCGACATACAGATGATGTATCCTAGATGATGTACACTTAAGACCTATATAATTTTATTTACCAATGTCACCTCAATAACATTTAATTTTTAAAAATCCTTAAAAAAAAAAAAAAAAAAAAAAAAGCCTCAGCCACTACGCGGGAAAACTTCGGAGAAAGCTATGTCAGCACTATTGAGCTCTGATACGCCCCGTCCCATGTCTCTGCCCACCCCCGAGCTGGACTCAAACATGGGCTAGAAGCCTGGGTTTGCTTTAAAAGGCAATGCCTGCTGGGTAGTCCTAATCCTCTATTTCCCTGGGGCTGCTGGGAGGGCAGGAGTTCCTACACCACCTCCAGCCTCTCCACATTGGGGTCCTCTAGGAAGTGCTAAGGGAACCTAAAGCAAAGGAACAAAGAAGACTAGCAGCCAGAATGCTGATCCCTGGGGACCACTGCTTCCAACCTTCTCACCACAAAGGACTTCTGCTGTGTTATCCCTATGTGGGTTTTATGGGAGGGGTTTGGAGAGGACAGCAATGCTGTCATCTAATCTGGGGATAGGGCAAGGTATAGACTTCCTGGAGGTAGAAAAATAATTTCATTCTCCCATAATTCGACTGAATTGTTGTTATCATGCCTACCACATTATAAAGCCCACCAAAAATGGATCGCTTATGCTTCACAGAGTCTTAAGAAATAGCTTTCATAGGAAGGATAGGAAGGCCTATTATTTTCATTGGGAGTTTTAAAATGACAGAACTATCCCTGGATCACCCAGTTGGAAACCAGTCCAGTGAGCACCTGCCCCAGAAATATGTCTCTCCAGCAGGCTGTGTCCTGAGCCATCCATATTCTTGCCTTGACCCTCAAGCATATCAAACTTGTGGCCAGCGGGGAGTTTGACATGCTTGCTTAGGCCTTCTGCACACACGTGGGCACCAGTTTGGATGCTGGCATTTAAAAGGGCACTTAGGAAATTCTGAGAAGCCCCAATGATTAAGATAAATGATGTTTCATTGCTAAAACGGACTTTTCATTTCTTGTTATCGATTTTCATGTTTTCACATCCTCGGATACGATTTGTTAGCCCAAGGCGGCATTCCAAGACACACAAATGTTATTAAGGCAACTGCTTTAAAGAGTGCCATGTCTTATTGAGGTGGACAGGACAATAGATATTGAATCTGCTACACGTGTGCTCCGTATGGGAGCTAGGGTTGGCACTGCATGACTCTCAGGCTCTTATATGTCTTCCTGGAAACCCTGACAATGGCCGCACCACCTGCTTATAGAAGCAGTCCCTGCCTTTGCAAACATTTGCCTGGGTTTCTGAAAAGCAGCTCCCGGAAGGAAGCCTTCTGCCACTCGAGTTTCAAGTTTACTCCATCTTACCTTATTTGTCATGATGTTGGAAAATATAAACTCTCCTGGGACTGGGGACAGTTGGCTTAAAATAATTAGGGGGGGGGGAGGGAGGTAGATGAGGATAAAGGCAGATAAATGGTGACAGAGGGAGACTTGACTTTGGGTGATGAACACACCATACAATACACAGATGTTGTATTATATAGAATTGTACACCTGAAACCTATATGATTTTATTAACCAATGCCCCTCCCCCCTATCAAATTCCATTTTTAGAAAAGATGGTCACCAGTGAGCATACACTGAGCTAGGTCACTGAGGCCATAACCCTTCATCTCCTCCACATTTGGAGTCTGGTTGATGTGTTGCACTTGGGGGTGGGAGGTACATCCTCCGTGTAGCTACTGAGCCTGTACCTCCTATATCATTGGCTCTCACAGCTAATTTCAATAGCATCCTATCCTGCATTGGAAATGATCAGTTTGTCATTGCCTGTGAGAGATCAAACTCATCAACCACCACTCTAAACGGGGTACCTGCCAGATTAGTTTATAAAATTCACCTTTGCTCACATCGTCCTATTCAGATTAAATGACTTTCAGATATGCATGCCTTCAGTGTAATTTGTCAGTAAGACACAGAGCTTTCTCTCTTGTTCTTTTTATGATGACTACAAACCCTGCATGATGTGTACTCACCCACAGTGGCATAGGTTTGCCCTAGCATCGATGGCTGGGACACCCAATACCATGGGACAAGAAGAATCTTCATCAACATCTTGGGTGGGGCCCCAAACTGTG